CTTTTACAACATACCTGAAAACATTCGTAAAATCAAATCTTTACAGCATTTCAAAAACCGTACAAAACATATTGACCGACTTTGAAAGGTTGTATACTATTTTAAATATTGTATACTGTTTATATTAAATTTAAAGCAACATGTATGTGATAACGCCCTCTAACGTTGTTTATCTTTACTTACATGGTTCCTTTTTCGGGGTTCAGACAGGAATGGCTCAGTTATTTTCTGTTCCAATTTTACCCATAATTCCTTTATGTTCTTTTCATATTCAAAGACTGTATGTATTATTTATTACGGGTAAATAAATATAAATTTATTATTGTTATTAAAGGGCGGTGGTCGTCGCCGCGTCCTGTTCCATATGGGACTCATATCGACATATACAACGCGTGTGAAGTCATAAACTTTAGAGAACATGTTTTCTAAAGTAAAAAAAAATACATTGATTGTTTACAATAAATTCGAACACGCGCTGTGTGTAGACCAGCGCCTTTAACATTTGACGGAGTTTCGCGTTATTTACGTGAAGGCGTTCTTATACAAAAAATATAGTAACTTGATTTATTTAGATAATTATGCAAAACATTGGCATAAGAAAAAAAAAACGAGAAAGCCCAAGCTGGTTCAATCTGGAATCCGATGTAATCCTATATCGCAATTTACTGATTTTGTTTCCATCTACGTATATTGTTGGCATTTACTTTGCACCCAATAAAAAATAAAAACAATTAAAATACTGCCTATCCCTACATGGATTTAATCTGATTGAACCTAGTTGTTTATTTAAAACAAGACAACATGTAGATGAAATTATTTGAGTTGTGCAAAATTAGTCAAAATAGTGCTCCAAAAATAATAATAGATTAGGTGACATGCTAAGTTTGCGCCGCCGCATACAAATTATCAATATCTAAAATACGAGCTGTTGTTGGAGCGATGAAATGCAAACCAACAAACACGGAAACGAGGTCGAAGAACAGAAGGGATTTGAGCGATTTTGCCATCATTTTACCTCATCCAGCCCAGTCGGTGGACTGCTACGAACAAATTAACTGATGACTCTTAGTTGAATAACACATCCCTTTCGCAAGGTAAGATTGTGTGTGTTGTAGTCACTATCTTACAGTTTAAATTTGCGACATGATTTTTTTTTGGCCGAGAACCGTGATGAAACATTCCAAGAACGCCCATTGCGGAGGTATACAGCGACGACTTGGAACCGTTGTTAAAAAGATGGCGAACATCAATCAAAACAGCTGTAACACAATTTTAGAGAATTCACTGGAAATGGGTCTCCAAATGTATGTTACGTTTTGGCATAAACAGTGCTAGGGGGCAATGATCTAAAATGTAGTCTGCGTCATTCATATTATTATTAGAACGAGATTAAAAACACGAAGTTGGAACTATAGGTCGCCTTCCATGTTCGAATTAAAATCGAGAAGAGTATTGCAGATAATTCAAGCGGATCTCATAATACTTAATCTAAGTATGCAAAATATTGGTACTAATTGCTATAATACTGAAATATTATAATTATTAGTTTGCTGGAACGCTGCCTGTTGTTGTAAGGCACACGGGTGTCAACAGTTTGTTGCAGGAAATATTTCAAATTTTATTATTTCACGCCGATATCAGATATTTATACTTGTTGAAGAAATCGTTTGGGTTAGGTGTCATTATTTACTACTTCATTTTGGCTGAGAAGCTGTTGTCTTTTTTAGAACTATTAGTAGTAATATGCCATTGCCAACTGTTAAATTCATCAAATTGTATTTCTGTTTTCTTGAGAAAAAAATAACTTTAAAACTTGATGTTCACATTTCGTGGCAACAATCATGCAGGTAAACTTACATGGAAGATAGCGGAAAGTGAACACAATATTTTTAATGTATTGCTCTTTTTTTTGTTCTGTTACGGGGCAGTGGTCGTCGCATTGTGCAATTTTGAATTTATTATAAACAGACAATGTTTTAATACATGCATTGTTTCAGTTGCTATGCGTCCTATATCAAACTGGACGTGGTGCGATGACCACCATCCTTTAATTGTGTTTGTGTCAGTCAGCATGATAAGCTATTGTACACATTGAAATTTCACTGCTTTTTTAGCGATTTTATGGAAATCTTAAAAACTAAATTTGACAAAAGTAACAAGACTCTATGTCATATGACACCAAAGTAATTTTCCCGACTACAAAATTCAATGAAATTTGTCTCGGAAAATTAAATGGTTTACAGTATAACTCACTGGTTATGCCGCTTGTGTAGCAAAACATGCATGTAACGTTAATGAGTTTTTACATAAATACTCTCTTCCAAATATTAATCTCTATGCTACTATGCTACACTTACAAATATGTTAATTAAATATTTATTACAGTTTAATAAAACAAAGGAAGAAAACAAAATCAAGTTTTCAGCATGGACACAGAGTATCCTCCAATCGATCTGCAAAGGGAAGTGTTTGGAATTTGCAGAGAAGATAGCTGGGAAGTGTTGGATGTTTTGATAAATCAATCCAGTATTCTAGTTTCTACCAAGATTCAAGTTCGTAATCGTAGTTGTTTCTCATGCATCCATGACACGAACGAGACAAGCTTTGTAGCGGTGACGCCGTTGCATGTTGCAGCTACATGGGGGAGTTGGCAGTGCATAAAAGTGCTGTTGAACTACGGTGCTCAGATCAACTTTCATTTAGATGATCCAAGTTTCTACGACTATCAACCTCTCTATCTTGCAGTGAGCAACGCATATATGTACAACATGTTGAACAAAGACTTGAGGTATGTAAAGAGTGTAAGGCTATTACTGGAAGCTGGCGCTGTCGTGGAATATGCTGGTATTACCAGTGCTAGGGGATCTTTACTCAATATGGTCGTCGGCTGGAACTTTGATGCTGAAATTGTTGAGTTTTTAATCAAGTACGGAGCCAACATTAAGAAAGCTGATGACCTAGATAGGACTGCTCTTCATTATGCGGCAATGTTTGATCGCGATGCACATCATCAGCATGTGCTAACCTTGTTGAAGTACGACCCAGATATCAACAAACAGGATGTCCATGGTAACACTGCCTTATCATATGCCGCATTTCGTTCAACTGTCAATGCAGTACAGGCCCTTTGTGAAAATGGTGCTGACCCCAATATAAAAAGTGCCAAAGCGATGACTCCATTGCACTATGCGTGTCGTCATGGTAAAACTGCCGTCATCAACTACCTTAAGACTGTGGTGGAAGATATAAATTGTACCAATCATGATGGTGATACACCACTTGACCTCGCCATTAGGAATCTTTCCGTCTTTGCCAAGTGCTTAGATCTAGCAGAACCTGATTCGGAGCAAGTCAAGTCTGTTTATCTGTGCTTTCAAGGACTTCTCAACTATGGAGCTGTCATGGAGGACTTCTCAGGCGCCACCTTAGAAAGTGTACTCGTCAGATCTCAAGCTACACATTTAATAGATGTAGTTGCCTTACTTGTCAATAGTCAACCTTATATAGATTTACGTAATGTTGTTGTGCAGCTACCTAGTGATATTGCTTACGATGCTGTACTCTTTTATCAAACTCTGCTATCACTTGGTAGTCAACCACGAAAACTACAGCACCTATGTCGGTGCAGTATTCGAAACTACCTGGGAAAGCGTTGTCATATTGTCGTTAACTACCTCCCACTTCCTGTTCATCTTAAACGCTATATTTTACTAGATTATCGAACTCTTGATTTTATTTAAAGTTAAGTAAAAAAGCTTAAACTAATCTCGGTGTGCAAGGCTGTGCCAATGTTCAGTGTACGAAGAAAATGAGTTTCTTTGCTCTAAATTTGATTAAGTTTGCTATTTAGTGTAAGTTACAAAATTGTTATGACCTTCACGAAAGCTATGGTTATTAGGTGTTGGTAGCCATGGTTATTGTCTAAAATGTTTGAGGTAAAATCATCGTAACTGACTTTTTTTTGAAAATATGGAAAAGCAGGACTTAAGGTACCGGTACCTACCATTAAAACAAGAAAAAATTGAACCACAGTAAATCATTCAAAAATTGTTGTGCAATGATTCACATACATGTACTTCATTCATATTTTATGATTTTACGAAGAAAGAAAGAAAGATGTGTTTTAAAAAAAAAACATATGCAAAATAATTTAATAAGCGGCCATTTTGGAACATTTTCCATAGAATTCTATGTACACCTTATTTCATGGATAACTTATACTCAAAATTTCCAATTTTTCGTGACAGTCGTATGTAGCCCTTATAACACTACATATCATTTTTTTTATAGCATTGGTCACTAAACAAAATATTGAGATATGATGAAATGTTTCTGCCATAGGTATTAATTGTAAACTATTTAAAAAATGAATTTTTGAGTTCGTGTTCTGAAAAACTTAGTTTGGTGACCATATAATTTATTTGTGAATTTTGAACATTACAGTAACCCAACCCATCTTGCTGGATTGCCGAGTATTTTTTTTAGCAAACTACTCTAAACTTTGGAGTTGTAAGGCAAAATGTTTATCAAGTTGCTTTTAAATTACCATTTATTAATTGTTCAGGGAAAATCTGTTTTTTTTTGAAGAACACCAAGACAAACCCATCTTGGGCATTGAAGCAATTGCTTTTCAATGCCTGTTTAGTTTTAAACCTCACATTAAGTTTCAAATTTATTATTTAATGACTTAATTTTGACCATTCTATTCTGGTGACCATTTTGGTTTGTAAAATGGTCACCAGAGTAAGGTACAATTCTATGAATAAAAATAAGCAAACCAATGTTTTTGTTTTTTTTGCTCTATACTTGATTCAATGTTCAGCAAAATATCAAGAATTTGATGTTATTTATTTATGATGAGAAACTTGTTTTATATCAGTGACAGATATAAACCCGTGTGAATCGTACAACTGAGGAAATTGTCAGTAGATGGTTTTAGCCAGTAAGTTAAAGGGTTCAGCAAACCCTTTAGTCATTCAGTAATAGCAAACTATTTGTTTGCTAATTCATAGTGTTTTTATGTGTACTGAGGATTGTATGATTTTCTTTCTTTTTTGTTGGAATCCATGAATTTACAACAAATTAATATATGATTGTGATATTTTCAAGTAGGCTACTGGTTTGTTGCATTTTACATCTTTCTGTTTTTGTGAAATGTTGGTTTCTATTTCTGATTTTTAACATTCGTGTAAACATTTTTTTGACACTACTGCAATATATATATATAGTTTGTCATTCCCACCGCAGTCTTTAGTATTTTATTATAGTCACAGTATAAAAAAAAAATTTTAAAATATGAAAAAAAAATGAACATTTCATTGCAGTGTTTGTTTCTATTGGATTGTTGTTATACATTCCTACTTTAAGAGTAAAAACAAATGTATTGCATCAACTTATGTTGCGGGCATAGCAGGAGATAATTTGAGTCACTAACAAGTTGAACCTATATTATATTAAATATACTTGCATAATTCACATCATTTTTAAAACATTGTTGTTCATAATTAACCAACAAAACTATAGAAAACTACATAAAAACATATATATATTTCAGGAAGAAACACTGTTGATTTTTGTTATTACCACCATTGTCAAGTTTTGCGATACTAGGATAATATTGATTTTCATAACCATAATTTGTGAGCATAGCCAAATTATGCCCTTATGGAACAATTTTGTTTTCAATGGAATTTGATTTCATATTCATTTCTACTATATTTTTTTCACAAAAAAAAAATGATTGAAATTTTTGTGTTGTGGGTGTGTTTATGTTTTCTGGGCATCACATGACAATGTTTTTAGGTGAGATTTATTGCAATACTTTTTACTATTTTACACAAGATCTACTGTTCAGTGCAGACAATATCTTTACCACACAAAGGAAGATTCCTCTATAGAAGTTTCGGCCACTGATGCTTTAGCCAACATTTGCCACAAGTTTCGGCCACTGATGTTTCAGCCAACATTTGCCACAAGTGTTATATTTCTGATTGAGTTCTTGTGTGTTTTATATATATATTTATAAACAAGTTATTTTTATGTCACATGTATGGCATATTTATTATGTCATAACTTGTGTATTGCAAGCATGGTGTATTTGTATTTATTTATTTGTAACTCAACCAGTTAATAACAGTTAATTAAGTTAATAACATGCCAGTTATTATTAAATAAATATAAATAAGCTGTACCATCCACGCTAGCCAAGGTCTAAGTTTATTCGGC